CCCAATATTCACTATCCCTGCTGCAGCCAGCCCCAGGAGAGCCTATCTACGTAACCGTGCTTTTGGACCCTGACATTTCCTTAGCTTTCCACTGTTTGCCTTGTAAACACCATAAAGAACCACCGCAATTATTTCTAATTCCCTCTGAAAGCGTGTGATGCTTCAGGGCACTGCGCCGCCAAGGCGCAAGCTCCATGCAGAGAAGCTGAGCTTAAAGATGGAGGGGCCGACCCCATCAGCGGGGCAGAGGCGAGCACGTTCAAAGCCTGAGCAAGGAAACCTTGTAATTAGAGATTTGAAAAAAACACCTCCCCCTATTTGGGCATGTCTAATCCTTCCCTTGCCAGCTGGGTTTATGCTCACATGGGTTTTGCTCACATTCAGGCCGGTGTATTTTAGTCACAGGCATCGGTAATGGCCGTCGGAGCTCGCCCATCTCCTGTTCCCCAGCTCTTTGGGGAGATGCTGTGAAACGGCCACGTTGACCTCCTTAAAGCTCTTGGGTTTGCTAACAGAAGTGCTGAAACACCATGGAGCGTGCCCCAACCCCACAGCTCCCCAAAAATGCAAGGGATGTGGTGGCTCAGTGTGCTGGGAGAGAATCAGCCGCTTTTGGGGTTTGTCCCCTTGGCTTCCAGCTGGAGAGCTGGGAGATTGAGGGTGAACTGAGAGCAGGCCATGAATTCAGGCCATGGATGCCCGTTCCCATCCATCCGTGCTCATTCCCATCCATCCGTGCCCGTTCCCATCCATCCGTGCCCATTCCCTTCCATCTGTGCCCATTCCCATCCATCCATGCCCATGGGGGGATGCGGTGGGGGCTGCAGCATCTGGAGACAGGGCACATCTGGGGCAGGGTTTTTGGGCCAGGAACACGGGATTGGGCTGCTGATGGTTTTAGGTGTGTGAACAGATATATAAAAGCTGGAGAAATAGAGGGATGAGGGTGGGTGAGCGGACCCAAGGACTGGAGGGAAGTCTGGGGTGTTAAAGCATCATTTGGCTTAGTCCTGTCCTTCCCTGTCGTGTCCTGGCCACCGTGCAGCCGCTCCTCTGGGGTCCCTTCACCTCCCTCAGGAGATTTAGTTTCCTTTTCCT